TTTTCGACACCATCGTCCATTGGCAATCGACCACTTATGAATCGACGTGAAAGAACATTTTCTCCGGTAAGTTTTTGTTTACTTTTTACTTTCTCCTTTTGTTTTTCGTTAATTACCTTTTTCAGCTTTTCGCCCTTGGCCGCCTGGATCCGATTTCGCGTCCATCTTCCTTCTAGCCTCACCTCGAGTAATGCATGTGCTCATGATGTTATTTCCGAATGAGGCTTTCCCTTCTCCAACTCTTCTGACGAAACCTCGGAACATCTTTTTTCACGATCCGCCTCGTGCATCCTTTATTCTCCTTGTGTTCACCTTATTATATGCGGCGAGTCGACGGATGACTCTGGATTGTGCCCGACCGTTCTCCATCTGTCTGCCTCGTTGTCATCCCGCTTCCTTCGGTATTTTTCTGCGAACTGAGCTATCATAGTCTTTACCGTTATATTTGCTCGTTGTGCCGTGAAATTCTGTTTTACCCGCGTCTCGCTGAAATTATTTTAATGGAACGGCTGGTACATTGCACTCCGTGGTCGGATATTACTACTTTTGGAATCCCGTCCCTTGAAAGTATGCGATCACTAAAAGCCTTCTTGCAGAACGCACAGTTCATATCCAAACTGCTTATGTATCGTGCTTCCCTAAGTTAGTCGAAGATATAATTAATCTGCCCGTCTTCTTTTTAACCATTACATGGTAGAGCTGTATGGACTTCTCTAATGCTCTATAAATCCAATTTTTAGAGGCTCGTCTACCTTTGCGTTAATCTCCCCTCCGACTCATAGTATCTCTGCTTGATTGGTTTGTCGTTCTTCATGGTGATCTGGTGTTCGGCCACAGTAGATGTTCCTGTCATGATGGGGATTTCTGTGGATTATTATGTTGATGAGGCAATAAGCTACCAAGAACAAAAAAAGACGATGCTTTAAGGAGATGCAACCAATTATTAAAAGTAGGGCAAACACATTTGAAATAAGTTAAATAATTTGTCCGTTAAAAGTTGTAAATTGGAAAAATTTTACTTTCAGGAAAGACAGGTTATTATTTTTTACACACCTAATCGAATGGAAGTGCATGTGCATAGACAAGTATCATGAACTAGGTCATGTTAGGAGGTATAAAATGTTAGGTGCTATTGGCAAAAGCTATTGACTTCCGAAAATGAAGGATTAAATCTCTTATCAATTTCAAAATTGTTAAAAGTGCATAGCTTATTTTCCGGATATAGGCAAAGAAAAATGCGAAACGACAACTAGCCTTTTAAGATTATTCACAGATAACATTATGGGCCTGTGTATGATAGCAGATCAAAGAAACATATATTCGCTGTTGTGGATACGTTTCTAAATGTGGTAGATGTAAGAGGCTAGCTTATATAAATATGCTCTGGCTGCACTGGTCGATCGGTTATGCTCTCTCAAAAGAGAGTGATTAAAACGTATAAACACTTTCTGGGAAGTCCCTGACCTCTTTTCTACACACCTACTTCTCAAGAAACCTAGTTAGCTGCAGCATAAGTTTAGGCATTGATCTGAAGTCGCTCTTGCGGTTCGAATAACTAATCGCTTACAAATTTCAATTTATTTTCTTGGAACAGAGAATAATGATTTGGTCTGTTTCTGCAAAAAATGCAGCCTGGTAATTAGGGCTGACATGACTTGCTGGCTGTGTGAAAAAATGGTGTTGTTTGTGGTTTGTTGGGCGAATAAGTCATAGGGGAAATCTAAATGAAATCGTCCATGCGTTAAACAGAGGGCCGCTTGAACTGGCTGATTAGCTTTTACGGCGTTTCTAGAGATAGTTTTCGCAGAGCTGATCTCTCGGAGCTGGAATCGCAGTTTAAAAGCCGTAAGCTATTATAGGACAACCCTAAAAGCAAAAAAGGCGCAAAACGTTGCTAAGATCAGCAGCTTAAAAAGATCCGGTATCCGGAACAATCCGTAGCGAAAGGTATGCAAAAAGGCATGCTTTTAAAAATTCAGATTTGTACGCTGTGGCTTTACAATTACTGTATTCACCTATACCTCACCAGGAGTTACTGAACCTGTACTACCGGCCCAAGTTAAGTTTTCAGAAACAAGGTCTGCTCCACCAAAATCCCTTTCAGTGCTTCCACTAAAGAAACAAATATTTCTTTCTCGGCTTTCCCCTGATCTAACATCTTCTGATGTTGTCTTATATACAAGACAGAACTAAAGCCGATAACAATAATGTAAGGGTGGAAAAGTTTAAGTTTTCTTATATTTCATCTTTCAAGATAACAGTCCCAAACGAGCTTTTTTAATTGTATTTGCATCTCATATAATATTGTTTACAGAATCCTGGCAAAAGCCGGAGAGCCTAAGCTCCGATGTTTTTTCTGGGAAGTACACATTACACAGGATTGCCCCCATGTCAGACGAATCAGTTTTCCCATAGGGATCAGTTGGTATTTTTATGAGATATCAATGTACTAGGAGTTACGTGGTAGACGGAGGATGGATCAAATGTCTTACTACCATGTATTCCATGTTTCGCCTTCTTGGAGAAAACATTGTTTAATATTATTTCTGGCTTTAATTGGTCTGATCTTTACTCATGCTTTAATATGGCCTATTCCCTTTATGTTTTTTACACTGCAATAATATAAGTTCCGAATTCAAGTGTTCCGTGATACTTTTCGTCAATCTACACTTAAGAAATGTAAAGTCCACCCTTTATAAAAATATAAATTTATTTTTGCTAGATATTTTAGTGCTCGGTCAATAATCACCGTGCTTAATGCTCAGTGTTATAATAATTACTTACACCGTTGTAAGGTCCTGGTTCAGGTCCGAAACAATTTTATAACTTTATTAACACCAAGCGCAAATCTAATTATTATCCTTCCTCGCTTTCGTTTGAAAACATGACGGCAACAACAAATCAGGCAATAGTCAATATATTTTTCAAACGACATATTCTGTTTTCGATCAATCAACACAGCCTTATGCTTACACCATATCCAAGTCGTACATCAAATGTCTTAACCGAAAGTTCTCTTCTTTTGGATCTTCTTCAAGTTGAGCCTTTTTATTCGCTAGCGCCCGAGGTATTCCTGGATGAGTGCTTAGGTATTGTCCTATTCAAACCCCTACACAAATTATTTACATTAACTCCAGAAACTTCCCAATTTACCATATTTTTGAAGGAATCAACTTCTCGAAAGAGATTTAAAATAGCGGTTATAATGGATTGATCAGAGACCAGCCTTTCTTTGATATTTAGCTAAGTCAATTAAAACATTATTTGAGAAATTGGGTTCACAACCAAAATAAAACAAGAAATTAAAGCTAACTTCGGGCGGAGCCGAAGTTGATATACCCTTGCAGAATACTCTGTAAATTATATTCTCCAAAATTATTCATATTATGTATTCTTAATACTCATAAAAAATCCAAACTTCCTAACTTTAAAAACACCAAAGTTATGGCATTTCCAATCGTTCAGTTATATAGCAGCTATAGGATATAGTCGGCCGATCCTTATGAAATTTGGTAGGTGGGTTTGATTGGCCAAATATAAAACCCATAGAAAATTCCAAATTCCTAACTTTACAAACACCTAAGTTATGGCATTTCCGATCAATCAGTTATATGGCAGCTATAGGATATAGTCGGCCGATCCCGGCCGTTCCGACATATATACTGCGTGCAAAGGAAAGAAGGGTGTGTGCAAAGTTTCAACTCGATAGCTTTAAAACTGAGAGACTAGTTTGCGTAGAAACAGACAGACGGACAGACGGACAGACGGACATGGCTATATCAACTCAGGAGGTGATCCTGATCAAGAATATATATACTTTATAGGGTCGGAGATGTCTCCTTCACTGCGTTGCACACTTTTGACCAAAATTATAATACCCTCTGCAAGGGTATAAAAAAACAAGAAAGGAAGCAAACTTCGGCAAGCCTAAATTTATATACTATGCCAGGTATATGTTACATACGGTCATATACTATATATTATATTATATACTTCATAGGGTCGGAAATGTGCCCTTCGCTGCGTTGCAAACTTTTGACTGAAATTTTAATACCCTCTGCAAGGTTATAAATATTTATAAGAGACTTGAATGCCCATTAAAAAAATGCCCATTGTTATCATTGATTGATTCTAATCATTATTTGTGAAGATTTCGCTGTTGTGTATCATTGTGTTATAAACAGCAATTTCTTTTAATATTGAACCATATCAGAGAAGAATGGCCGGTCATGCTGCGTTTTTTTAAAGACGAGCATACAAATATGAACAGAAACGTCATCAGGCAAATAGTGTCTTTTGTTTTTTATATACGGTAATGGCATTTGCTTAAAATGTTGATAGCTAGAATTTTTGTAGAAAGTATATGGAGGACCGGTTGTCACAGAGAACTTACTCTTAGAATCAACAGCTGCTTTTGTAATTAAAAAACTGCTTAAGTTGGTTGTTAGCCCAAAAATTATATATTTTCTTGTTGTTATTACCGAAAAGAAGATAGCATTTAATATTATAGTATATTTGTTAATTTTAATTTCGTCAGGAATTTAACGAGAATTAGTTTCTGTTTTGTAAAACATAAGCATTAAAATGCCTTAATGAAAAAAAGATAAGTATGATGGCTTTTAACAAATAAAACGACAGTTATTTCTCTTGTAAAATAAAAATAAATAAAATAACAATTACATATAACATTTAGCATGAAATTAATAAGTTTGGTCTCTGAAATAAGTATCTTCCCGTTAGTGACCCAGCCATTGGAAAAACGAAAGGAGAAAAGCATGCCCTGGGAACGCATGTCGAGCTGAAATACACTTTCGAAAGATGTACGTATTGGAAGCAGCCAGGTCATGCTGAACTCGGGTGTTGAATGTATGTAAATAGCACTCTGTACGTGACCATTTGCGTGTGTTTGTGAAAGCAAATGTCCAGTGTATTGTGGGAGTATGTGTGGATGTGTGAGTTGTTTATATTGCTGCTGCTAAGTAAGCATTCGCTGTAGGGAATTTTAGTCGAATTTGAATCAACGGCCGAACAGGTTCGGTTTAATTGTGTATAGGAATGTTGAAAGCAGTGCGAACGAGACGAAAATATGTACAAATTTTCGAGGAACTCTGATCATTTATTTACTTTTACCGAGAGCATTTTGTGTTGTTTCTTAAAAATTATTCACAAACAACATTTCTGAGTCTGAACGTTAACAGATGCTCACAGAACTCATGTACACAATCTAGTACAAAGTGTGGATGTGAACATTTTACAACAAATTTCTGTGCATAAATGTTTAAATATATATGCAATTCAAAGAAGAGGCTAGATAATTGGAGAGTACAGATCGAATGAATGGAGAGATTACGAACCTTTTTATATCAACATCAAATTAAATTTGATGGCCATGTGGAGAAAACATGATAATAGTCATTAAACCAAATTTTACGACAAAAAACCATGAACAAACAGAAAGGTTCCATTCTTTTGAATGCAAATCTAAAGCTAGAAACCACAATTCAAATATATTGTTCACTATTAGGAACAAGTGTACCTGGTTTTTAAATTTTTTTATTTGTGTTTATTGTTGCCACACCATTTCAAATACAATAGACGTTAAAGAAGTGAAACGGCAGCCTTGTACTCATTATATTCAAGCTAAGTTTCCCAAAGTTTATACTAGGTCTTTGAAGTACCTACAAATATGGATTTTATTAGTTTTATTGTTGCCAACTCAGCAGAAAGTAAGTGGTCATGGAATGTTCCGCCAAACGTTAAATTTAAACGAATCGTCTTTATCACATAACCAAAATCCAAATATGCAAATTCGCATTTCGCCGCTTAAAAATCTATATGAAGTTGATAGCCTAAAAACCAATCAACTACAATCCAAAATGAATACCAAAATATCAAGAACGGAAACGGTTCTTAACAATTTGACTAAAAAGATTAGCAAACAAATCAGAGCCTCATTTTATAATGTCAGTTCAAATATATATAGTCTGATTAATATAAGCCAGTCTAATAACATGCCACACACAATCAATCAGAAAATAGCAGTTGCGTGGAACAACACTTTACCAATTCACAATAGGCAAAAGAGACAAACCAGAGATATTCAAATAAAAGCCAAGAGTCACAATAGACAAATAAAGCAAATGACCAATTTAAGACGCGTAGACGAGGCCAGACTTAAACGACTAGTTTTAAAAGGACTAGGAATGAAAAAAATACCCGATATGAGTAAGGTAAGAAATTTAGAACAAACCTGGACAGCAATGCCCAAACCATATCCAAAATTGGCCTTTAATGCATTTATATATTTACAGGTCAATATAAGCCAAGTTGAATATTATAACAAATATATAGAATACCTAAATCGTCTAAGGAATAACCAGGAAAAGGTACCTAGTTATTATAATAACTATGGAGCTTCATCCATGGGAGACCTAAATTTGTTAAGCATTGTTACAAACAAATTCAATGACATAAGTCACAGACGATGGCGACATAAAAGATCACTTAAAAACATAAGCCGGCTAAGACAAACCAAAACTCAAAACAGGAATGAAGAGTTAAAATTTAACCAACCTGATAAAACAAATATTCTATTGCACTTTCCACTAACAAATATCAAAGATGCCAAGATTTACCATGATAAAATTGACGAAGCCAACGTAAGACTAATGCTTCTCTATAGCTCATCCCTGGCACAAAATTCCCGTCGTTGGCAAGGGCCTAAAAAAAGAAAATTTAGCCACGTTTCTGGAAATGATAATTCGGTTAATATAGTTAGAAGCTGTCATTCTGATGAAGTCAAATCTAATCAATTTAAAAAAGTCCGAATCCGGCAACTAAATCTTAAAGTATATCAATTACTCACAGCAAACAGACGAAGGCTGCTAGCTTCCCGAAAAATAGAATTCGAAAATATTGGCTTAGAAGAAACTCGAACTCAGTGGATAGAATTTGACGTGACAAAAGCTGTTCAGGGTTGGTTGAACAAAACCCACGAAAACTTGGGTATAGAAATTCAATGCGATAGATGCAAGAGTGTTGGTGCTCGTATACTTAGTGAATCTAGCCCGTCGACGGAATCGTCATCTGCAAAATCGACAGCACAAAACAACGAAAACTTTAACCTCATGCCAGTTCTAAATATAATCGGACACGGATCCCTGAATTCCCACCAAGAGGATAACTTGGACATTCATCATATCATGCTGACTAATAATAGAAGCGAAGATTACGTACATCATCGTTCAGATCATGGTACATCTTGGCGAAAGGATAAATGGAGCAATAATTGCTACAAAGTGCACCAACGTTGCTGTAGAAATCAGTTGGATGTTGCATTCAAAGACATTAAGGGTTTTGAGTTTATATTACAGCCAAAAGTATTTGATGCCGGCTATTGCCATGGTCGATGTCCCCCACGTCACAATCCAGCCCATCATCACGCCCTATTGCAAAGTCTAATATGGCAAGAAGATCACAGTCGTGCACCCCGTCCGTGTTGTGCTCCTTCAAAACTTGAAATGCTCGAAATATTGCATGTTGACGAAGTCCATAGCGATAAGCTGAAAATTTCCACATGGAGTGATATGCAGGTTATAGAATGTGCCTGTTCTTAAAAAAATTCCACCAAAGCCTTAACAATTTTTTTTATACATACAACCTCTATTTACCTATACTTTTTTTATAAATGTGCGCTCAAAAAATACAATACAAACTTAAATTTTTTATTAAAAATACCGCCAAGGAAAATATAAATTATATTATGTTTTTATAGAAAAATATTGTGTAAAATCATTATAATCCATGTTTTAAAAAGTCTGTAAATAAAACTAAAAGTTGGGCTAAAATAAATTAATTGGACCAAAATTTATTTTATATATATACTAGCTGTACCCGGCGCGACTTCGTTCGCTTAAAATTTGTTTTGAGTACGGTTGTCAAGACTTTCCCATTTCCACACCACCCCTGAGGTAGAGAAATTGGTGATTTTTTTTTAATGTGGTAACTCTAATTAGACCTATTCCACTGAAACTTTCTAGGTTTAATAATGTTAATTAATATGATTACTTTAAAACCTCTGTGTAAACAACATTTTTAGAAGATCCTTCAGGAGCGAGAATAATAAGGCTACTGGCAGAGCTAACTCTAGAGCATATGACATAAAATTGTCCATGAGAGAAGCAATCTTCTCTAAGATCTAGTCCAGCCAGCTTCAAAGTCTGCCCCTGCGATTTATTTATAGTTATTGCAAAGCAAACTTTTAGAGGGAATTGTAGCCTTTTAAACTTAAACGGCAGACTGGATGGTATTAATGGGATCCTGGGTATAAACACTGTTTCCCCCTTCGCGCACCCCGTAAATACTGTTGCTTCGATTACATTCTTATGAACCCCTTTTATCTGCAATCGTGTCCCATTGCATAACTTTGGGGGACTTAAATTTCGCAATAACATTACGGGTGCTCCAATCCTAAGAGACAGATTATGCTGAGGAATTCCTGGAGGATTCAAAGAATTTAAAAATTCAATAGGGTAATGAACAGCATTATCAGCATCATGAACAGAGTCGACCGATTTATAGGAGACTTCTAAACCATCAAATGCCAACAATAAGTTTGTCAAGAAGGTTTTACCTGTCCCTCCAGGTGCATCCAAAAAAATATTTCACCCATCTCAGCCCCAACGCTTTGTAAAACTGTATTGTATACGACTTTTTGCTCGTTCGCTTAATATTAGTTTAGAGTTAGGAAATTGGGTTGTCAGGACTTTCTTATTTCTTATTTGGGCGTTTTTTGAAAACCTTTGTGTAAACAACCTTTGTAGAAGATCCTTCAAGAGAGAGAATCAGAAGGATACTGGCAGAGCTATATAATAAATGAAAGTGATCCAAGTAAAAGTCGTGAGCTTGTATACTTTTTATCAGTTACAATGTTATCAATGCAATTTTAATTTGCGCACAAATATGTATACTTGTTTGTAAATTGGAATTTGTTGTTTTCAAATTTCTTGTTTTGAATGAAACGAAAACCTTTGTACACACAGTAAAAGATTGGCATCCAATACAAAAACAGCAAAGTAACGTATTATTTTCAGATTCCACATTTGATCGATAAACGGGTATAATAAATCATTTTATTTGTATTTAAGCACATTATCTACTTTCGAATAGAAACATACACACATTGTATGTATGTACATGTATTGTACATATAAGCAAATCAAAACATATCCAAATATACATATGTACATACGTATTTGGTCAAAAGTTCGAATCTTAAGATTAATATTTAACTTGGAAACATTTTGGCTTTGCTTACAGAATTTGTAGTAATTTTCTATTTTCTTCCATGGTGGAAATTAAATAAGGCTCTTACTTCTGCTACAAAATGAAAAATAAAACCTAAGCATTTGATCCACAGGACTGACTATTGATCGAAAATCATATTGATCGGAGCAGCAGTTTAAGTTTTTAAAATCCTAAACAAATTTAACTTAAATTGCCTCTTTCCCCTCCCCTTTCCCTGCAGCACTACCCATCCCCCTCATCAGTTTTCTTGGCTGTTGCTCTCTCGGCCGTCGCTCTCTTGGCTTCTGGGTTTCGTTCTCTCGACAGGCTCCCGCAAAATGCAACGCAATGACTTAGAAAATCTAAATAAATTCGTTAAAAATACTTAAAAAAATGTTAAAAACTTGAAAAATTAAACTTAAGCATTTGGGCCATAGAGTAACTATTGAGCGAAAAATCATCTTGATCGGAGCAGCGGTTTAGATCTTTTAAATCGAAAAGTTAATTTTAAATGTAGCCCCCAAATTATGGGGGATATCAACATTTCTTTTAGATTTCTAATTAGGCCTTTTCAAAACCTAAAATTCGGAAAAAACCAAATATCGAAATTCCAACCAGTTTAGAAGTTAAGCTTAAATACATCAACTTTTTTTTGCTCAGAATAATGGATGTTGGAGCTGTTTGGGGCCACTGGGGGGACATATCGGATCTTAGTGGGCGCCCACGCCCCCAATGGAATACTGTGAAAAAATTTGGCTGCTCTTGCTCTTACGGTTTGGGCTGTGGCCGTATCCCCTTAAAAATCGGTCTTTCATTTTATAATCTTTAGGGATGAAAGTGATCCAAGTAAAAGTCGTGAGCTTGTATACTTTTTATCAGTTACAATGTTATCAATGCATTTTTAATTTGCGCACAAATATGTATACTTGTTTGTAAATTGGAATTTGTTGTTTTCAAATTTCTTGTTTTGAATGAAACGAAAACCTTTGTACACACAGTAAAAGATTGGCATCCAATACAAAAACAGCAAAGTAACGTATTATTTTCAGATTCCACATTTGATCGATAAACGGGTATAATAAATCATTTTATTTGTATTTAAGCACATTATCTACTTTCGAATAGAAACATACACACATTGTATGTATGTACATGTATTGTACATATAAGCAAATCAAAACATATCCAAATATACATATGTACATACGTATTTGGTCAAAAGTTCGAATCTTAAGATTAATATTTAACTTGGAAACATTTTGGCTTTGCTTACAGAATTTGTAGTAATTTTCTATTTTCTTCCATGGTGGAAATTAAATAAGGCTCTTACTTCTGCTACAAAATGAAAAATAAAACCTAAGCATTTGATTCACAGGACTGACTATTGATCGAAAATCATATTGATCAGAGCAGCAGTTTAAGTTTTTAAATTCCTAAACAAATTTAACTTAAATTGCCTCTTTCCCCTCCCCTTTCCCTGCAGCACTACCCATCCCCCTCATCAGTTTTCTTGGCTGTTGCTCTCTCGGCCGTCGCTCTCTTGGCTTCTGGGTTTCGTTCTCTCGACAGGCTCCCGCAAAATGCAACGCAATGACTTAGAAAATCTAAATAAATTCGTTAAAAATACTTAAAAAATGTTAAAAACTTGAAAAATTAAACTTAAGCATTTGGGCCATAGAATAACTATTGAGCGAAAAATCATCTTGATCGGAGCAGCGGTTTAGATTTTTTAAATCGAAAAGTTAATTTTAAATGTAGCCCCCAAATTATGGGGGATATCAAAATTTCTTTTAGATTTCTAATTAGGCCTTTTCAAAACCTAAAATTCGGAAAAAACCAAATATCGAAATTCCAACCAGTTTAGAAGTTAAGCTTAAATACATCAACTTTTTTTGCTCAGAATAATGGATGTTGGAGCTGTTTGGGGCCACTGGGGGGACATATCGGATCTTAGTGGGCGCCCACGCCCCCAATGGAATACTGTGAAAAAATTTGGCTGCTCTTGCTCTTACGGTTTGGGCTGTGGCCGTATCCCCTTAAAAATCGGTCTTTCATTTTATAATCTTTAGGGATTGAAACTATTCTATACATAATGAGGTTATTAACCAGGGTTCATTAAAATTGAAAATGTATACTGTAAGTAGTAAAATATTTCCCTTCACTCAATCAGAACTAAAATCGCACTGCATGTTATACAGCTGTCATACAATGAAAATCGTTTAAAAATTAAAAAAAATGTTTTTAAGAAATGTTACACATTTCCGATTATAAATATTGTTGATCAGCATCACCACCTATCTAGCCATTATCGTCTGTCCTTCTGTCCGTTCGTTTTTGCGTTAATGTCTTCGGTTTATTGCTATCTGTATGAAAATTTTCCAAAAGTTTTCATTTACAGGTTGCACATAGTTGATATGCGAACAATAAAATAAACAAATACGCATATATCAAAAATGCAGTCGTAGTATTTATACCCTTGCAGAGAGTATTATAATTTCAGTTAAAATTCTGAAATATCCGTTTTTACCCAAATAAGTCTTTTAGTTTTAAAGCAATTTAGTTGGATACTGGGAATGATTCTTAGTCCATCAAAATGAGCAGCGTTATGGTGCATGCAGAAGTAGGGAGGGTCATAAACGAGACGAGACCATTTAAGGATCCAATTGTCTGTCTTAGCAATGATAACATTGAGCGTAAGTAGCAAGATTATGAAAACTCAGTAATCGGAATGGAAACTAGGGATAATTTACCAACTCTGGAGCGGCTAAGGATCAATCTGTCCCCACCCCTCAAATTCAATCGATGGTAAGGTATGCAGGCACCATACGCTCGCAGAACAACAACCAAAGCTGATTTGCTTTGAAGTTTTCTCAAACACTAAGCACAGACACCGACTGCGATATGCCCTGTTCCTATCTCATTTATATTCATTTGATTTATATTAATTGGAATACATCCATATATGCAAAACATTTTTCTGCTACCAGTGATTTGAATTTGTAAACCAAAATGAAATTTTTGCTGAAATATTAAAAAACAAGAAAGGAAAGCTAACTTCGGGCGGAGCCGAAGTTGATATACCCTTGCAGAATACTCTGTAAATTATATTCTCCAATATTATTCATATGATGCATTCTTAATACTCATAAAAAATCCCAACTTCCTAACTTTAAAAACACCAAAGTTATGGCATTTCCAATCGTTCAGTTATATGGCAGCTATAAGATATAGTCGGCCGATCCTTATGAAATTTGGTATGTCGGATTGATTGGCCAAAAATAAAACCCATAGAAAATCCCAACTTCTTAACTTTACAAAAACCAAAGTTATGGCACTTCCGATCAATCAGTTATATGGCAGCTATAAGATATAGTCGGCCGATCCTTATGAAATTCGGTATGTCGGATTGATTGGCCAAAAATAAAACCCATAGAAAGTCCCAACTTCTTATCTTTAAAAACACCAAAGTTATGGCTTTTCCGATCGTTCAGTTATATGGCAGCTATATGATATAGTCGCCCGATCCGGCTCGTTCCGACTTATATACTACCTGCAATAGAAAGACA